AGCTTCAGTTAATGTTCATACACACACAAAAAACATATTCTTCGATACGTGCTTGTATTTGTGCTTGGTTTGTTTGTTCAAACCGGTTTGGTTTGTTTTGATTTAGTATGTCTGCGAGCCCGTCTCATTGTCGCCGTCACACAAACACGCCTACGCCCACCACCACCCATTAGTTTTCCCAACCCAATATTGTCGCAACATCTCAGCATCATCTTCAACACGCTCTTAATGCTGCGTGACGCAATGCTTTGAAGATTAACTGCAAAAATTTCGGTTCTTTGCATTAATAAACGCCGAGATTTACTGTGCCAACAACAACAAAAACAATAGCAAGTGGACAGTATGTGTATATGTGTCTGCCCAAATGGGTTCAATGAGCTGCCGAAAATAAGGGGAATTTTAGCCTAGCCATGCACACGTAAGGAACCAGTATTTTAAATTTGCTGTCCGTGAAGAGCTTTTAGCTGAAAACACCACATCGGCAGCTTAAAAGCTCTGCATTGGAAGCTTATGAGGCCACACGCGGCGTATGCTTAACGCACGTAAGCTGAGACAACAGTAAAATCTCTGTTGACGAACAACTAATAAGCTAATAACAAATTAACTTGAAAAACTTAAAATTGACATTTAACATTTGAATATTTGTATGAGTTTTGTAACCGTTCTTCCTAAGAAGGCTTTACTGTACAAATCTGCTTTGTCATATATTTTGATTATGCGTACTTCATCCCTAGAGTGGCCAAGCCTAGCATCTAAATGAAAGTGGTAATGAAAACAATTGATGTGTAGATAGATGTGCGACAGAGATGCAACACATGCGGACTTCAGAGTGCAAGCGAGATAGCTGCCTAAAAGGGCAAGGCACTGCCAATGATAGAGATGCAGATGCAGATTGAAATTGAGAGTGGAATTGAAATTGAAATTTGGATTGGAAGAGCTCTGTCATTTTAAGAGCAACGCACGATCACAAAAAAAAGAAAAGAAATGTGTGTAAAATAAGATAGCTCAATTGGACGGCGACTCGAATGACTTGATATGTGGATAAGCAAAGGAAATTTACGATTAAGCTTAATTAATATGTGGGGCCAATTTGTGCCTCCAGCAAATACTGGACTAACTCAAGGCAGGCGCATAAAGTATGGAATATTTTTAAGGTGGGGCTTCAATTAAATATGTTGTTGATAAATATTAGAGAATTACAAAAATAGCACTAAGCATTGAGGGTGTATATATAAATTTTAACAAATACAATTAATGCATTATTAAATTGATTGTGTTATACATAATACATTAAACAAATAAAAAGAGTAAAACCGAAACAAAATACAAAGTCAACAAATGAATTTAATAATTATTAATTTAATTTAATTAATTTTATCTTAATTTCCTGCGAATAACAATCTGGCAGCGCCTGCACGATTCCTGCAAGAGCGCGGGGAGTGAACAGCAGAGTCGCTTGTGTCGCTTGCTCTCGCGCTCGCTCTCTAAAGCTCAAGCTAAAGCTTGCCGGGCATTAGCCGCTGAATGGGCTGCGATGTACAGTGGGCCAAATTGGCTGAATTATGTATATAATCTAATGAGGCAAAGGAGCCCTAGTAAATGGTAATTGCAGAAACAACTGTTAATAGCAGCGCCTACCGTTAAAAGTTTATGATTACAACATGGCCAAGTCGTTCGCCCTAACTTGACGGTTGAAAAGAATTATGATAACTTTCTCTCATCTGTAATATTATAACACCTAACAGCCGCACTGTTAACAGCATTTACATATGTTATCAATTTGAGTTGTTAATGTTAAGCAAAACTTCTTAAACTTCATGCACTTACTATACTAACGAGTTTTTGCCAAAAAAAATGTTATGAATGACCCATTGTACTGACGCTGCAGCTCTGCAGCCCTGTGCCTGTAACTATCTGACCGACTTGCTCATCTGCTCATTCGTGCCACATTTGTCGGGCAAGCTGCGTCTTTCAGTTACAGTCGCTTGTTGTCGCTTCAACGTTCTCGTTCTGTGACCGTGCGCCCTTCTTCAAAGTGTTGAAAATTTATTTAAAAAAAGAAATAATATATATTAATAAATAAGAAAATAACTGCCGACAAGGCATACCGAAAATCGCACTAACAAATAGAAAATAACAAAATCTAACCAAATTATCGACGTGTGTTTCATATTATTCAATAAAAATAAATATGCAGTACCTCTATGTGATTAGCGCGCTAATTTTGGCAATTGTCGTGCAGCAAGGTAAATCCCTAATAGAGCTCCCTCCATATACACCCTAACACACACACAACCAAGCTCCAATTTCAAGCTCAACCAAAAATAAGATGAACAAAAATATAGGGGAATTCGTCTGCACGATTTTGACGATTACATAATGCGTGCGCGATGGAAATGGAAGTAGGGGTTGCAGAGTCAAAGTCAGAATACGGTTAAACGGCAGAGCGACCGTACGGGCTATTAGGAGAGGGGGCGTGAGAAAGATAGATAGAGAGAGAGAGAAAGCTAGACGCCTTGACGCCGCCTTGGAAGCCGGTCGCAGTGGCGCCTTTTTAGACCACAAATCCAGCTGGCAAACTGACAATTGCAGTTGCCCAAACTGCTAACACCCATACCGAAAGGACAATCAATCGTATACAGTAAAAACTAATTGTAACGTACATCCACTACAATTATGAGCAAGAAAAAAAACTACTCTAACAATAAATACCACCACTAAAACCGTTGGATAAAACTCAAAAGTATCTTAGCATAGCTGTCCTCGACTGGAGTCCTCTACTAACAGTTAATAACTAGTTTTATCCGTTGCTCATTATCGCATTTCATATCATAAAAAAAAAAAAGAAATGAAATCTGTTCAGTCACATCTTAATCTGTCATTTCCTTCCTTCTCTTAACTGGATGAAATGTGTGCAAGCGTTTGCTTGCGTGTGTGTGTGTGAGTGTATGTGTATGGGTGTGTAAATGTGTGCGTATGTGTATGGGAACGCAGGACATGCGCAGTCATGCGCTCTATTTGCCAGCCTGTCACTCGGTTAGCAGGCCTGGGAAGCTACTGCAACAAGACCCTCTTTGAACTCCCTTTCTCTGCCCACCTCCAACCTCCCATTCCGCAATCGCCTGCAAGTCCTCAAATTGACTCACTTATATAGAAGAGAACTAAGGTCGGCTGTAGCCGACTCTGTCATACTCGTTTTGCATTTGAGAATTCTTTTCAATTTATTAAGAAATATATATACTATAAATATTTTTATGTTTATAAATTTATCTTGTTCTAGGACATAAATTATTGCAGATCTATTTACTTTAAATAAGTAGTGAAAAATTGAGCATAGCTTCCAAGATTATACTTTGATTCTTAAAAATGTCTATATACTGTTCACTTTCTGAGCGGGCATCTAAAGACATATCAAATCAAAGAAATGATTTTATATTCTATAGAAAGTTTTATAGTTAATATACATAGTTTTCTATAAATATGAGACGCGATATACGTAGATAGATATACATATATTGATATAGATTCATCAATAAAGACCGTAAACAATCAATGCAATTTATATCGATTGACTGCAATAAACTATATTATATTCAAAGCGTATAAACAATATAAATTTATTGAAAAGTTGGAAAATATTATACATGAATTTATTCGAATATAATATATACAGCTAGCTATATAATATTCTGAGTGGTATTTTTAATTTTGTATCATTAATACATTATAATATACTCCATTTTTGATAAAGAAATCAATTTGGTTTACTTATTTATTTATTAATCGTTTCGTTATAATAGCCATGAAGGTTTTTTTTAGATATCATAAATTCTATCGATTCTATAAATAACTAAAATATCTTCACGAGCTATTCCCTTGTACTCCTATGAGCACATCGAATAGACTATGTATGTATGTAAGGAGCTACAAAGAGTTATGCTTTGTCTTGACTAGACTTCGTTGAATTTTATGAACTACTTTTTCGTGTCCATTGTTTGATGAGCCACTCAAAAAAAAAAAAAAAAACAAAAACTACACAATGGGTAGCACTTACTTTTGTCTGACTTATGTAACCCATTTAGGGGTTGAGCGAGGAAGCGCAAGACAGAGAGAGACTCGAAAAAAATGCACAAGTTATGAAAGTCCATTAACATGAAACTGATGAAGCTGTTGGAGATTCTAATTCTAATTAGCAACTGGCTCTCAAGAGCCTAACGACCAGACACTAATGGAGACGCCGCTCAGCCCCCGGCCATGGGTTGCATGCAACGTGTCAGTTTTTTAGCATTCGCATTGCATCATAGAGCGGGTCTATTTATTACTATAATACCATATATATAGGCAGAGACGTATGTTGATTCTTTGTGGACAAAAACTAATCGTATAATGCGAATCTCGTGTGGCGTGTGACGACCTTAAATTCAATTTAGCTAAGTCAACGTCTCAATCTACAGTTTCGAGCTTAGATTTATTTACACTTGGTCACTTTTTGGTTTTGTTCAACAATTGAGGTTAGGCATAAGTGAGTGGATCCAACTTGATTGCAGATAGAAACATTTCCTAATTGGGATTAGCAGAATGCGGTTTTCAATTCAATTCAATTCAATGAGAATTGCAGAGAGAGGAGGTCTGTTAGAGAGGAACAGAGAAAGACAGAGAGAGAGAAAGCGAGCTAGAAAGAGACAGATCAAAGTAGAGTAGTTATAAAGCGAGAGTGAAAGAGAGACAGCGAGTAGAGAGAGAGAGACCCCGAAAGACGGCGAGAAAGAGAGAAATAAAGAAAATACAAAGAAAAGCAACCATAGGCTTAGAGAATACAGAGAGGGATGGAAAGAGGAAGAAACTCTGACACATTGAAAGAAACAAAGAGCGAAAGAGAGACGTAGGTTTACAAGCTGGCTTAGCCTTATTCGCGTGACGATTCCCTTACCCTATACAAATCATTAATTTCAACCAGTTTGTAGCAGTAATTGTATATTCCTTTGCTTTCAGGCGTTGCCATCAAGTGTTTCGTGTGCAACAGCCACAAAGACGCCAACTGTGCACTAGACATACCGCCAGACAACTTGCTAAAGGACTGCCAGGAGGATTACTCATCGCGCGATCGTGGCATACCCACCTATTGTCGCAAGATCACACAGATCATTGAGTTCTCTGTGAATAGCCGTGAGTGGAAAATTGTGTAAAATATGACCATCAGAAAGCTTACTGAGACTTGGTTCTTGTCATTGCAGTGCCTCCAGATAGCCGTGTGATACGCACTTGCGGTTTCCAGAATCAAACATCGACCAATTATTGCTATCAGCGTGCCGGCTTTGGCGGCCGTCAGGTTGTCTGCTCCTGTGATACGGACAATTGCAATGGCTCCGCCTCACTGAGCGGCATCTCTGGCCTAGGTCTATTGGCCACCGTGGGTCTGCTCCTGGGCGCCTGCAAGTGGTTGCAGCGTTAATCCGTTTTCGTTTAGCAATTGTCTTTCTTTGTTTTTTCGATTATCATTTTGTTTCCAAACCAAACCTATTGAGTTCTGTGTCAGCTATAATCATTCGAATAGAAGAAGAAACCACGCCCAGCTGCTTCAAACTCGGGTAAGTCGTTATAAAGCTGACCCAATCGAAAACTAACTGAAGAAAACTTATTTTCTAGCTTCGTTCCGAACATAAATACATTCTATTTATTTACCTCTCAATGTCCTATGGCAAAAGCTTTATAATAAAAGAAAACAAATATTTGAACACTCTTTGATTGTATATAAAAAAAAAAAAAAGCAAAATAATTAAAAATTGGCCAATAAATTAGAAAAAAATAATATAAATGCGAATTTTGAAAACCAAAGTATTAAATATTTAAAGTAAAAAATAATAAAAACAAAAACCTACCGCAGTTTAAAAGAAAAAAGTATTCGAATCCCACAATAAAATGACAAAATATAAAATTGTTGTAACTAAGGCTAAAAATATATTAAAGACGAAAGAAATGAAATTTAAACAAACATAGTAGTACATAAAAAAAAAAAGAATAATAATAATAAATGTTAACACACCTTTGTCTGAGTTTCCTTTTTTCTTATTTTCTTATGAAAATTTTCTAAAAAATTGAAAAGAAACCGTAATAAATGCAAATGATAACATAGTCCAGTTTTTGACCTCTAGGCTAAGCTAAGCCCGCTTCATGGAACCCAAACAAAGAAATGGAATCTAGAAAAACAACAACACACACGTAACCAACTGCCAAAATATATATACACATATATTTAAATATAAAACCACTCATCATCCGTCGGGAATTACTGAGCGCAGCGATGGATTTTTGATGAATTTGGTAGGCAAAGCTTTTGTCCACGTGCTGTAGAATCTCTAGAAGCGCTCTCTCTCTCTCTCGAGATTGCTAGGGGACGAGTTTAGTTCAAATTGTAAGCCAAGACAAAACCCAGTTTATGTTTTTAGTTAAGATACACTCCTCTCAAACGCAATATTTGTAATGCAAACAAAATTTTTAAAATGTTCAAACGAAAATCAATAAAATAATAAAAAAAAATTAATAATAATATGTGTATATGTGTGGTATTCTTTTCTATTTTTCTTTTGGGCATCATGACCTTAAATCATAATATTACAAAAGTTGATCGCTTACATTTATAATTAAGAGAATCGGCTATAGCCGACCAAAACTTTAAACTTAGCTTAAAACAGGCTGAGAACGGACTGACGTGCTACTAAAACTGTCGACAATGACTGCTAAACTGTGAAACCGGCATTAGACTTTATATCTACTGTTATGCCGTTATGTGAACAGCGGTACAACAAAAGCAGGCTAAAAGCTGGCTGTGCATGGCTCAGGACCACAACACTTATAATATGCACAGGTTGTACCACCTAGGCATCCACGTGCACGACACGCTTTAACGACAGGTAGCAACGTTTGGTGGAGAGCTCATGATAGCCAACTGGACCGCGTTCGCAATCGGCGCAGACTAGAAATTTGCGTCCATCCACAGTGTGGGAGAAGCCAATATTTTCGAATGTCATCATATCCTCGACCAGCCAGAAATGACGCAGGGTCTCTGTGTTCAGAGAGTCAGATTTACTATCCTTCTTCTGTACCATTAGCGGCACGTTCACCTGCAAACATTTTCATTTATACCGAATCAACCATGTCAAATTTATTACTAGTCACATACCTCTTGCTCACAGTAGCTCGCCTCTTTGGCTTTTAGCATTAGGCTGTTGCAAAATTGACATCGCACATTCGTTCTGTTTTTTTCGTTTTCTATTTGGTCCGCAAAATTAGCTTCGTCTGTCATTTTTTATTATTTTGTTTCTTTCGTCTATAGTCTTCTTCTTCTAGTGCACATATCAGCAACGATAACAATTAACAGTGGCTGCTCTGTAAATAACAGAGATACCATCGAATCAAATACTACTAAAAATAATAATTTTCTTATTTTAAAATAGTTAATTCAAGAACCATTAATTTATTTATACATTTTTTCATAAAAATCAAGCTATTCAGTCATTTTAAAGTCTTTTAACTTAGTAGTTGGTCACGTTCGAGTACCACAGAAAATAATCGGCAACGCATTCACAATAGACCTTTAACATAACTATCGAGTTAAGTCGATAGCGCACTTGTTTATTATATCGCGCTGCGCATCCCAACGGTCGAAGCAAATTCAAAATATTTAACTGAATCATTTTGAAATGTGTGAAGCTAACATTTGAAAAATGGTTCTTAAAAGTTCAGACTGTATTGTTAGCTTTATACGTTTTGTTTGAAGTATCAATATTTTATAAGAAAACGGTACGTACAGTGGTAACCACAAATGATGAACAAGTACGCGTAGAAAATCAAATCATTTTTATTTTAGAATTAAAACTATTTGTTTACAACTTTTTTAGAAACAGGTCTTGCGAACCGAATAGAAATTGAAACCTATCGATAGACGGCTCACTTAGGTTCGCTAGGCCGATACTTACACACATCCTAGGTATCGGAAGAATGTACGGTACGCCGTCGCTTTCGTGTCGCTGCTTCCGTTGTAGTTGTTGCTCGTTACAAAAGTTTTGTTCGGCTGGGCTTGCAAGTGAGTAATTACTTTTGACAGACCAGTACTGGACAATGACGATCTGCAATACGTAAAATATTCGATTAATTACATCAACTTGACAATTGTCATTCAGGCTGACAATTTACAGTTTAAAAAGAAAATTAATTCCGAGCAGCTGGCCGAAAAGCTAATCTAGAAGTTTTTTTTTCATTTTCAACTGTTTTATATTTTTATTTTTTGTTTTATCACTTTTTTTGGTCAATTTTAAATTCAGTTCAATTTAAAGTGTGTGTTGCTTGGTGAATTTGCTGGAATTATGAGTAGCGGCTACAATGCACCTCTATATCATATACCCGTGGCCGTGGAGTCCCTCTGCCAACAGTCCATGTACCAACAGCACACCTATGTGGATCGCACTCGTATGGCCATAACGGATGTTTTCGTGCAGGAGCATGTCTCCCAGAGTTCCTGGACAATGAGCACACCACCAATACCGATACGTCCGCCCGTATTCATACAAACCGGGCGTGGTCATTACATGGGTGGCAATGCAGCACCACCGCCAGCAGCACCACATCCACCGCCACCACCACCGCCGTCGCCACATCGTCCATCCATGCACGGACGTTTCACATATATGTCCATGCCGGGTGTTCAATATTATGCCGCCAGCTCGGGTAAGCTATTGCCAGTTAACATAAATTGTGGATTCTTCTCTATTGATGAAGCGTTTCAGCCTCAATGAGCTCATTTGGCCAAATGTATATGCAACATTCAGCAACGGCCTCGGCCAATATGGGCGGCATGTATGTGCCACAGTATAATACAACATACTCCACACCACGTCCACACCATCAAACCAAGGATAATGCATGTCAGACCCGTATTTTTGTCAAGCGCAGCTGCGATGCAGCCACACAGACAGATTTAATTGGCGATGCTCCGCCAATAGTCAAGTTTAAATATCAAGCAAATTTAAGCGATAGGTAAGTATATATACTATAGTTTTTCTCTCTATATATATTTTTTTAGCACTGCACATTTATGTCCAGCTTAGACCCATTGCGTTTCAACCTTAATACTATCCAGCTTTTATTTAGCTTAATTTTTGTACATATTCTGCTCCGAATCAGTCCGTCCAACTGTCCCATTATCTGTATTTATGAACGTGTCGATCTCAGAAAATACAAGAGGCAGAGATTTGAAATTTCTTTTTGTAGACCGGTGTATATCAGGCAGGTGTAAAGAAACCGATAGCTATTTTGCTATCGATCTTATAGAGCATCAATTACAAGCATACACATTCTTGAGGTAATCGGATTTATATATCCATCATATATGTCTCTCCGTATGTCTGCCTGGGTATTTGTCTTCTAGTTTAAATGTCTAACTAAAGAAGATCATTTAAGTTGTTTGTATGTATGCAGGAGAATTCATTTGGTATCCATATTTAAGTAAAGCGAAGCTAGAATGCTTGCAGCAGCAGAGAGTGTTCCCATAGGTCAGATAAAACTCAATTGCAACGACCCCCACCTGACATTTGAGCGCGACTGAGTAAAATTGAGCTAAAGTCGCCCTATATAAAGGGCAGCAGCTCCAGCATTTCTTCAATCGTCAATTGTGCAGTGCAGTAAAGTGCAGTGAAGTGCGTGTAAATGTTTAATAATTGTTTAGCTGAGCATTAAAGACTTGGAGCAAATACTAGAAGAAATATTTGGACAAATTACTTAGAGGACATGCTTTGAAGAAATATTTATAAGAAATCGTGGAAATACTTAGAGAAAATTATTATAAGACATGTTTCGAGGAAGTCTTTAAGGCAAATACTTAGAAAAAATGCTAATAAGATAAGCTTTGAAATACTCACATAGATATACTTGAAGGAAATAGTTACTAAGTGCAATTTATTCTCTATATATATTGTGGCCCTATACCCTCTCTAGCTTCCTTTCACAGAGTAATTTGGAATTTTTTTCAATACATTCTAGCAGCAAGGAGTCATCGACTAGTCGCAGCTCATGTGAAAGCAATGACTGCTTTCCAGGCATTCTGCAGGGCGAACGCCGCAACTCGGAGATTATCCTGCCCATGCAACGCTTGCAGGATATTACACGCATCTCGCTCAACGGCAGCGACATTGCCGAGCGCCTGGCCAATGCTCATCGTCAGCGTCCGTGCTTCAAGAAGATGGATACATTGTGTGCACGGCTCAAGCAGGATCTCTTGCGTCCAGATAGTGTACTGCCGAATATCAATTCGCAGGGCATTGCCTGGGCTGTCAAGGATTTCATATTTGTATTCACACGCATTGTCAACTCGTGGGTGATCCTCAAGGGCTATGTCTACAATACACCCGATGGCCTCAACAAGATCAAGGATGAGTTGCCGAGCGGCTTTATGGCCGCCTTCGATAACTGGCAGCTTAGCACATTGACCATTGTGGAAATGATCATCAAGTCGTTTGTTAACTTGGATGGCATGCTGCAGAAGCAGAAGAATAGCTTCTGCAAGTTGGACATTAGCAACAACTGCAATAGCAGCGGCAATGGCAGCAGCAATGGCATTGATAATAGCAGCGATTCCAATTCAAGCAATAAAACTTTGAATGGCACCGAACCTCCATTGCCACTAAATACTACATTGCATCTCACCAATGATAATTTGCGTGGCCCGAGCGCATTTAGCACACCCTATAACAGCATGAAGAGCGATCACACTGTCAAGAGCGAAGACACTATAGACAACAGTTGCAATGAGCCGCCGATGCCGCCACAGGAGCCACCACCACGCATGGGTGGCCGCTCCAAATCTGATTTGAATTATTTGTACACCATGATCCAGGATTCGGAAGAGGCGCAACGCTGTGTTAATGCAAATGGCACGTATTTGAAAACCGGCACCTATACGCCGCTCAAGAAGGATGCCAATGCATCGCCACCACCGCAGAATGTGCCCAATAGCTGGAGGTCCACTGCTCAGCCTTTGTATGCCCGTCAGCAGGCACAGCAACAATATCAACAGCAGCAGCAGAATCAGAATCAACGTCACCATCAACAGTACCAGCAGTCTGTACCGTTCGAGCAGCTCAAATCTGCGCTCAAATGTCAAACACCCAAGCTAAAGACCCCACAGTGTCGTCACACCGATGCCAAACCCTATGCCACACTCATGGGTCGCGAGATGTCGCGCAGATTGTACGAGCTGAGCAATCGCATTATGCAGCTGCAAAATATTGACCGTTTCTTCCAAAAACAATTTACACGCAACTATGTGAGCTTATACATATTATAATTCGTTCTTTCAATATCATCCTAATGTAATTAATCTGTCCTTTTTGCAGTATCCGTACTTCTTCGAGCGATGCCAACATGAGTTCATTGATGTGCGCGCGATTATCCTGAAGTGTGAGAGCGCAACATATCAGCATATTTATCAGGCCATACATGATATGCGGCGTATTATATATTTGGTGCGCAGTGATCTGAAGGTATTACCCAAATTTTCATATCCACTCCAACACAAACAAACACACTGGTTTCTGTAATCCTTTGCTGCCTGTTTAGCTGCCGGGAAGCGTATCCAGGATAAGGTATTAGTATGAGTTTGCCATCATATGGACTAATGTACTAATCACTGGTCTCATCGGGCACTAATCTCATATATGCATAGATAACACGACTAATAAGCCATAATCAACATCAACTAATCTCCAATGCACAAACTATTTCATGAATATTCTTGCAGAAGGGAGAAGGGAAAAATTCCCATATATAGAATATATATTTATGTTTGTCATATATATGTAGATATACCATCTTCTGCAAGAACATTTTAGCTTCGGAATTTCGAAGATTATTTTTAATTTTTAATTTCAAATTCTTATGCTAAAAACCTTTCAACAGGATCATACCAACATGGACTTGCGTCTTTATACCGCTCTTTATGAACGCTCGATCAACGAGATGCTGGCCAAGACACCATATCATCCGAAACAATTCGAGCATATTACAGGAGAGCCGGGCGAAAAGCTGTTCAACTAGACAATTTAAATTCCGAGTTCCCCTTTTTTTCAATTCCGTTTTCTTACCACTTTTAGGTGGAAGTTAATTATGAGCGTCGGTAGCACCAATCATAGCATAGCAAAACATTTTTAGGCACATACGAAATTCCTAATTGCTGTTAGGCTTTCTTTTTTATGAATTGAATTGTGCAAGCTGAAGGTTTTATCATAATTAGCTTGCTGAATTGGCAACATTATTTCTAAAATATCTAAAGTCTAAAGTCTCTGTGGAGTATAATCATTGTTCCGATATCAGTTTGGCTTTAATGGTTACAATTTCAAATTCTCCAATTTCTTAAGCAAGCTAAAAGTTTCATAAAACGAAGGAAAGAGTAAACATTTTCTAAGAAAGTGCTAGTAAATTCATACAATTTTTATAGATAAATAATGCAAAACAAAAACGGAAACGAGACAGCTTACAATTTTTGAACAAAAAAATTGCTTAGATACCTTTTTACGAATATTTTTGAAAGTATTTTTTGACACATTTATAAAAAAAAAACTAAGAAATTAGCATGTGAACCCAACTCTAACCCAGAATGCAAAAACATGAGATCCAGTACAGGCAAGCTATATATATATACATACATATATGTAGCCATATAGCCAATAGTTATTAATTTTGTAACTGATCTGTCACATAAAACTCTCATGTATTATATTTGGTATAATATAATAAAACCTACATATACAATCAATATTAAAATTATTGTTTTAAATACTATTTAAAGACTATAAATAAACATATCTCTTATAGTCAATCGATTTTCACAAAGTCCTGCAAACTAATGTCCTGCGCCAGGAGCATGCTGTGGAATAGCGAACTGCGATTAGCCGCCAGCTCGTGCGGCTTGCCCTGCTCACTGATGCGCCCATCGTCCAGTACTAGGATGCGATCCATGGCCTGCAGGCCACGCAAACGATGCGCTATAAAGATCAGGGTACAGCTCTTGAATGCATTTCGCAACGCCTGTTGCATGCACAGATCTGATTCGTCGTCCAGAGACGAGGTGCCCTCATCGATACACACGACCTTCGCATTCTTGAGCAAAGCACGTGCCAGGCATAGCAGTTGACGCTGTCCGGCGGATAGGTTATTGCCGCCACGGTCGACATGGCCATCGAGGCCACCCAGCTGTTGGACGAGCAACGTAGCGGCTGCCGAGTTCTTGATGGCATGCCAAATCTCGGAGTCGTAATACCTGTGACTAGGATCCAGATTCTCGCGCACAGTTCCTGAAAAATATATTATTTAGTCTTGATTGCCCCAGCTAGTCCATTTTAAGAGCGTACCTTCAAAGAGGAAGGGTTCCTGTGTTATCACGCCAATGCGTTCACGCAGCACACTCAATGCCACAGTCTTCAGATTCATCTGATCCAAATAGATATCACCGTGGCTAAGTGGTGCAACACGCAACAATGCAGCCAGCACAGAGCTCTTGCCAGCTCCAGTGCGACCCACGATGCCAATGCGTTCGAACGCCTCCGTTTTGAAGCTAATGTCCCGCAGAGCTGGCGACAGATGCTCCCTATAACTGAGCTGTACATTCTGGAAGCTAAGCACACCCTGGGTGGGCCAGCCAAATGGGGGATCGGCATTGCCCTCGGCATTCTGCTCGGGTTCCAGTTGCAAATACTGATCCACACGCTCCACGGCAACCAGCTCCTGTTCCGTTTCGGCAACGGCGTGCAATAGATCGCCCAGCTGTCCGGTTATGGACAAAGCATACGAGATACACAGACCCACCAACCCAGGATTTATAGTATGCGAAGCCGTTATAGCCGCTATGAGACCAGCGCCGCCCACGAGCAGAGCGCCCAGCATTTGAAGACGCAAAGCCAGCCACTGTTGGGCAGCTGCTGAAGACAATTGCGCCTTGGTGCTCTCCTCCAGCTTTCCTTGGAAATCGCGCTGAAACCGTGCACTGGCGCGCATGCTGCGTATTGTGGTCAGCCCCTGCAGCGTCTCCGTAAAGTGCGTATAGAGCGGGGACATGGCATTACTGGACAGCCGTTTAATGTCTCGAGAGGCATGCCGATAGCGTCGCTGTAGATTCAAATAGATCGGCACCATGGGTACGACAACCAGTACCAGCCACGGCATGGCATAAAGGCTGACACACAAAGCGCCCACCAAACCCGCCAGCTGGGCTAGCAGTATGTTCAGGATGAAGGGCAGCGAGTCATCCACCGTATTGATGTCCGAGGAGAAGCGATTGAGTATTCGGCCCACAGAGGTGATATCAAAGAAATTGAACTTGGCCTGTGAATGAATTAGTAATGTATTCATCGAAAAACAAGTAGGAAAATTAGATATAATACTCACAAACATGACGCGCTTCAAAAGCTGCTCGTGTATATAAATGGCCGCCTTGATGCCAGCATAGGCAAAGAGAAAGGCTCGCGCTAGGGTGACCAACGAATTGGTCACAGCAATCGCAGTGAATATGCCCAAATAGAAACCCGTTGTGTGCGCAGCAGCGCTGTCATTGCCAGATGCGCCGGGTCGTATCAGCTGATGTTGCAGCGTCGTATCGTTCGTATGGCCATCCAGTGTCGTCTCGGTGACCCAGTGCGCCAGCCAGGCATCGCTCAGGTTTCGTGTCAGCTGCATGAGCAGCACAAACAGTAGCACAGTCAACGCCAGTGGAGCGGACACGGCTTTCCAATAGCACGAGAACACATTGCCCGATAAGTGTCCGTATTCACGTGATTCCTCCAGCAATAGGCTGTCCACACTATGTTTATCCTCCTCTGCTGTCACATTAGCCAGCGCCATGGAAGAGCGACACAGCAATTTATTGGCCTCCTCGTCCTCCTCCTCTTCCTCCTCGCTCAGATCAATGCTCTCCGTCATATAGTCACTGGGTCGCAATTGTCCATCCTCAACATGAAGTATCTGATTGGCATGGAAGAACAGTTGCGTGCTCCGCGTCACCACAATGCGCGTCTTCTGCTTCAGCAGACCCAACAGACAGTGCCGTATTATGTGCTTGGCCACGTGAGCGTCCAAGGAGGAGAGAACGTCGTCCAACAGATAAACTGAACGAATACGAAGGGAAATTCATAGCTTTTAATGAATCTCAATAGCAATGAAAACTTACTCTTTTTATCCTGGTACACAGCTCTGGCCAAGGCAACTCGTGCTCTCTGGCCGCCTGACAGCGTCCGTCCATTCTCGCCCACACCTATCAGATCGCCGCCCAGCGTTCGTATATCTTCGTTTAGGGCACAAGCGTGCAGCACCTGCTTGTACCACTGCTCATCGAAATTGCTGCCCCAGACGATGTTGTCGCGAATGGTGGCACGTTGCAACCAAGGTGATTGAGGCACATAGCCAAAGCCGTTGCTTAAGTCTTGGATGCACACTTCGCCATTTACGCATTGCAGTCCGGCAATGATGGCAGTGAGCAGGCTGCTCTTACCTCCGCCCACTGGGCCCTCAATACAGATTAGTTGACCCGCTTTGACGTCCAAATTGATGTCACTGAGTCGAAACTGGGAAATGGTTGTCTCGCTGTCCGTCTCGCTGTGCTCTGCATCATGCACAAAATGTGCGTCTTTTAATTTCAGCACACTGGGCGTAGAATCTCCAATTGCAGTTGTACGCATAATGGGATTATAATAGCTGGAGTAATCCAAATTGGGCACATCCATCAACTGCTGAACTCGCCGTAGGGATACCCATGCCTCGATCAGTCCATTAAGCACCCAGGGAAAGGCGTTCAATGGTCCAATCAGCATGTAGAGCAGAGCAACACTCGTGTAGGTCGTCGACGCAATCAGTGGGTTGCCGAGCAGCACAGAGACCCCAAAAGTGAGCAGGCACATCAGCACTGGTGTAGTTGCCCAGAAGTAAACGCACATTGCATCTAAATATTTGCGCTTGGACAAAAATCGTAGTTCCTCGGTACGCAGTGAACGGATTTTCGTAATAAATATTGGCTCCCAGGCATTGGTCTTGATTTGCTTGGCGCCTTGCATGGTTTCCGTCGTAGCTGACAGTCGTGCATCCTTGGCCGTCATTAGGCCTGTGGAATATATACCAATGCGTTTGGCTAGCCAGCGATTGATGGGTATAAGCAGAGCGGCAAAGATGACGCCAGCCAAGAAGGCAGCGCCTAGTTGTAAATAAAGCAGATAGAGAGTGGTGAACAGCTTGAACGGTATGCTCCAAAAGAAGTGGAAGCTGATGCAGGAGTTGACAATGCGATCGGCATCCGTGGACATTAAGTTCAACATATCTGGACGGGATTCGCGTACACCCCGTGCCTCCAGCGCTTTGCGATAGATGCTATTGACCACGCCCACGCGCATCTTCATGCTGACCATGGCCATGCGCCAATCAAAGTGACAGCCGCACAGCGCCGACAACAAGGTGCTCCCGAACAGGCCCAAGGCATAGTAATAAGCTTTCTGATCCGCCTCTGATCCATCCTGTCGCAACAGTCCGCCCAGTAGCAACGGTCCGGCAAAGCTGGAGATATCCGCTACCAGACGCAACAATCCAATCAAGTAGAACTCGAAACCGAAACACTTGTGCAGCGCACGAAAGACGCTCTGTGTCTGCGACAAGGCCAGATGCAGTCGTTCACTGAGCCGTGTAATGTTTAGCGCGTCGGGCAGATCGAACAAGTCCTCGATGCGACGTAGTTTGCCGGCAACGCCTTTGCCTATGAGCGGCTGCACCCAGTGGAAAACGAAACGCGACAGCCAATTAGCCTCATCCTGGGCGTGGCCGAGCAGCGCCTCATTTAACTCAAAATGGAAATAGGTATAGCGATTGGACAACAACGCTTCCTGCTCGCGATCTCGACTGCCGGCAGGTGGGGCACAGTAAATGGCATTACCCTTCGGCACCATTGTGGCGGCATAGCACAAATCGCACAGTAACGTGGCCAGACTCCATGGCCACCACTCGAAATGACGGCTCGTGCGCAACCAAACGCCATCGAGCACAACGACCGTCAGCCAAAAGACATTCATCAACAAAGGACCACGGTGACTCAGCTTACCATAGTGCCGAGCAGTCAACAGATAACCTAAAAGCAATGTATCCATGAGTCGGTTTGTATTGACAATAATAGCAACATCTTTGTTGGGGGGACTCACCACAGTGAACTACCCACATGATGCACTCGGCGCTGACAACTAATATATCGACGGCATACAAGTCGACGCCTGCTCGATGGAATACGAATATCTTTGATACAGGTAATATGGCCAAAATAAGACTGAACAATATACGCAATGTAAGCATTTGCATCTGAAGCCCATTGCGTATTATCTGATGCGTATGGTTGCCAAAATTGTAGGCGGATATGACTGCAAAAATTGTGTAGACGGGCAACTGCAGCAGTGTTTTCTGGAAGCAGGGCAACAGATCGTTCGTATCGTTGGCAAACGGCTTCAGACCCGTTGGGCAGAAATGTGTCCAGTTCCATGCAAAATTCCAATCAGTGTCCGACATAGTTATTTACTTATTTAACGTGCTCAAACAATGGCGTTTACGAAATTTGATCTTCTTTTCACACAGCTTAGTGTGTTAGTCATCATTTGCGTTAGTCGCGCCGTCGAATAAAAAGAAACGCGCGCGGGACGGGCCTAGCGCATAGCAGAGATAAATGCTTTTGTGAAAAACCGTTTATTGACCAGATTGCGCGTTAGTGCTTAGCTGTCGCCGCTCTTGTTTATAAGTAAGAAACAGCTGGCGCGGCGAAAAAAAATCATATATAACCATCTGCGACGTCCACTCGTGAATGTCAGTATCCGCTAAAGGCGACATAAAACTATCGATGTGACTGTGTACTATCGCTATAGAATGTGTGAATGGGACATGAACATTCATATTGATGTGCTTTTCACTCACCTTTGAATTATTCTAATTATTTATAGTTTTCATTGAATAGGAAGAAGCCTGCTTTAAAGCAAGAAACCTTTTTTTTAAGCTAATATACTTTTCCTGTACTCTTGTGAATTCTAATCCTACATTATAATATTTTCTTCTATAATTTACCCCATTTTTCTCACTCTTTATGCAATTCAAGCAATAGGATAAACTGTCAGCGTTTACTAAATCTTGCCACAATTGATTTTTCGATCTTTTATCGGTACATTCAGTTTGTATCTTTTCATTCTGAACATTTTCAATCAGCTGTTTGTCTTCCTTATTTTCGTTACCAGTTTGCATCTTTTCATTCTGATCGTTTTCAATCACCTGTTTGTCTTCCTCATTTTCAATACCTTCCTCATTCTGTTCGTTTTCATCACTGTCTACTAAATAAATGATATCACTAAAGTCAGAAGTAACACAAGGAAAATTTGGTTCGTCAACTTCCTCATCCTGTTCGTTGTCATCACTATCTACTAAATAAATTATATCACTAAAGTCAGAAGTAACACGCGAAAAGTTTGGTTTGCCCATATGTAAGGTTGGGACTGCATTGTTTCTTAATTTTCGTATACCAATATACTTCTGTTCGAAATGCCTGTTACATATTCTAGCCGTTGTCATATCGAAATTTTCGGGTACATTAAATGATTTAATCCACTCATCCAAAAGATGTCTTTTTGTTGAAAACGAAAATAATGCAACCGGATTATTTTCAGAGCTATTCGCATAGCTCGCACAACAATTTTCTATTATACATTTATAGAATTTACTTTTACGATATTTTGTTCGTCGTCTATTTTTCATACCAATACCTGAATTCCTTACTACGTTTCTTTCCGTCATAGTTCTACTAAAAATTTGTCACTTTTGAAACAGTAAAGATCAACAGTGAAGATCACATAAAAATCGTTCAGTTGCGAGGCCTAGTGTCAACTAATGTAACATATGCGCTTCCTATTACTTTTAAATGGTTTCTCACTTGTATGACCTGATGACATCCAACTAATGCGTCTTTTAAAAAGGGTCCACCTGATCTGCGTATGTAATATAAATGTACATTTATTTTCAAGATTTTGCGTTTATGCTTAGTTGTCGCTGCGAATAAAAAGCTAGACTAAACAGCCAGCTGCAACGTTCACTTGTGAATGACAGTCACCACTTTAAGCGTCAATAAGCTATCGATAATTTTGTGCACTATTGCTATTGATATTACTATTTTACATTTGAATGCGTGTATGAATAGGACGTGCAAATTTTAACTCACCTTTAAATTATTTGAACGATTCACAGTTTTTAGTGATTTGATATGTCTTTAGTTGCCTGCTTTAAAGCAAGAAACTTTTCTTTTAAACTAATATACTTTTCCTGTACTCTTGTGAGTTCTATTCCGATATTATAATATTTTCTTCTATAATATACCTCACTTTCCTCTCTATTTATACAATTCAAGCAATAGGATGAACTATCAATGTCTACTAAATCCTGCCACAATTGACTTTTTGTTTTGTTTCTAAAGCTCAACAAATTCTCTAAAGATTCTTCATCGTCATATTCATTTTGAATATTTTCAATCTGATGTTCCACTTCCTCTTGCTTTACTTCCTGATTATGTTCATCCTCGACCGTTTCTCTAAAATAAGTCGTATCGCTAAAGTCAACAATCTCACAAGATAAGTTTGGCTTGTTCCAATGTAAGGGTGGGACTTCATTAGGTCTTAAGTTACGTTTAAAGTCAGCAATATCACAGGAAAAGTTTGGTCTGTTCAAATGTAGGGTTGGAACTGCATCAGTTCTTAATTTTCGTCTACCAAGATATTCCTTTTCGAAATGCCGGCAACATATTTTAGCCTTTTTATAGTCACGGTTTATTGGTAAATTGCATATTTTAATCCACTTGTTTAAATGAGAAGGTTTTGAGGGAAAATTGAAAAGTTTAATCGGATTATTCTCAGAACTTTTCCTATAGCTAGCATCACAATTTTCTATTATACATTTTGCACCACATTTTCGTGAATCCTTTTCACCTTTATTCGTCACTTTAATACCAGCCATAGTTTTAGAAAAACACAAAATCCTATTAAAATGTCACTTTTTGCAACAGTAAAATAACTTAAAGATCACACAATCGCTCAGCTGTGAGGTTGACTGTCAATTTAAGTACATACATATGTACATATGCGCTTTCTAATACTTTGAATTGGTTTCTCACTTGTATAACTTTATGACATTTAACTTATGAGACTTTTTAAACGGATTCATTTTATCTGCAAATATGCAAATATATATGTATATTTATTGTCCGGATCGTGCGTGTTTAGATGTCGTCGCTATTCTTTATAACTAAGAAACAGCTGGCAACAGCTACAACAGCTGTGACGTTCACTCGATTTTCGATTAATCGATATTTTCGTGCAGACACACATACACTCATTTAAAATTAAAATTAATGGAAACTTACTTTACATACTTTGTGACTTAAATAAATACTATTCATACATAATCAAATTATTAATTAGCAACTCGAAATTACACTGAATAAAAATATCATGTTTTTTTATATTTTGTTGCATTTTAATTCAATGCCTATAACTTAATGAATAACTTTAATAATGAAGTTCTTCTGTTGCTTATGAATAACTGAACAAGTTTTGCTGTTTAAATTATAGACTAGCTCTACATTAATAAAAGAATATTTTTTCAGAGACCACTACGCTAATCAAAGTTCGCGTCGATGATAACGATCAGGATGATTTAAATCAAATTAAGAGGTAGAGAGGTGATAGAGACGATCCAATTCGATGGGCTTTTTTAAACGATTTCGACCCGTATCCAAAACAAACGAATTATGCTCTCCTATATTGTCTATAAATATAGAACGACTTTTATATTAATTTGCCGCCATATTCCTCAAGCGGTGGCTCAATGAAAATATCATCAAATTTTCAAGATCTTTCAGATCCATTCATGCCGATGCGGGGTCCTGGATGAGTTTATCCTTAGCTTGATCAGCTCACTCTGCTTCGGATATGCTCGCAGTAACCATTGTGCGGATTAGAAGACTGAGTACCTTAAGGAATCTTTGTGTATCTCTTTCTGTGTTTTCTTAGAGAACGAAGCGCCGCCGCCGGAGTTTTTCTCCTCATCCCTTTGTGCAGAGCCATTGAGCTACCGGCATAATTACTGCCACACTGCCCAGCAAGTTTTTTCAAGCTGAAAATTTTTAATACATTATATATAAAAAAAAATTAATCATCCAAAATACGAGACTGCAAATTTACTCCAACTCACCGTTTGGGCCAGCAGAAGTCCTGCATTAGCGTTTGTTGCGCAGTAAAACAAGCCAAATGGAGGGCACCGGTAGCACCTAGCAATGATAAATACAATTTTGAAAAACCATTTACTGTCTAGTTTGCTGTTGCTTTTCTCGTTCGTAGGTAACACCTAACACAAATCCTTTGCTATTTCGGCTACAAAGAGTTTATAGATGTTTGCGTGTTCTATTGCTATTGCTATTGCTACTCGTTTTTAAAGCTCAAAAAATTCTCTAAAGATTCTTCATCGTCATTTTGATTTTGAATATTTTTAATCTGGTGTTCCTCTTCCACTACCTCTTGCTTTTCTTTCTGTTTATGCTCATCCTCAACCGTTTCTCCTAAATAAGTTCTATCGCTATAGTCAATATCACAGGCAAATTTTGGATTACTGAAATGTAAGGTTGGGACTGCATTGTTTCTTAATTTTCGTCTACCAATATATTTCTTTTCGAAATGCCTGCTACATAATTTAGGCCTTTTAAAGTTGAGATTATTTGGTAAATTGCACTCTCTAATCCAGTTGCTTAAATGAAAACTTCTATGTTAAATGCCAATGTAATATAAATTTATATGCACATATATATATTTATTGTTCAGGTTGCGCGTTATTGTTTAGCTGTCACCGTTCTTGTTTATTACTAAAAAAAACAGCTGGCGCGGCGAATAAAAAACTATAGACTAACAAACCAGCTGCGACGTTCACTTGTGAATGACAGTCACCACTTTAAGCGTCAATAAGCTATCGATATTTGTTGTGCACCATCGCTATTGATATTACTATTTTACACTTAGATGAGTGTTTGAGCGGGTCGTCCAAATTGTAACTCACCATTGAATTATTTTAACGATTCACAGTTTTCAGTAATTGGATATGTCTCGTGTCGCCTGCTTTAAAGCAAGAAACTTTTCTTTTAAACTAATATACTTTTCCTGTACTCTTGTGAGTTCTATTCCGATATTATAATATTTTCTTCTATAATATACCTCACTTTCCTCTCTATTTATACAATTCAAGCAATAGGATGAACAATCAATGTCTACCAAATCCTGCCACAATTGACTTTTTGTCTTGTTTTTAAAGCTCAACAAATTCTCTAAAGATTTTTCATCGTCATATTCATTCTGAATATTTTCAATCTGAAGTGGCTCTTTCACTTCCTCTTGCTTTTCTTCCAGTTCATGTTCATCCTCGACCGATTCTCCTAAGTAAGTGTTATCGCTAAAGTCAACAATCTTACAGGATAAGTTTGGCTTGTTCCAATGTAAGGGTGGGACTTCATTAGCTCTTAAGTTACGTTTAAAGTCAACATTCTCACAGGATAAGTTTGGATTGTTCAAATGTAAGGTTGGGACTGCATTATCTCTTAATTTTCGTATACCAATATATCCCGGTTCGAAATGTTTACTACATATTTTAGCGGTTTTAAAGTTCAGATTATTCGGTAAATTGCATATTTTGATCCACTTGTTACGATGAGAAGTTTTTGAGGGAAACCCAAATAAATGAAGCCGATCACTTTCGGCGCATTTCCTATAGCTCGCACCACATGTTTTTATTATACATTTATCGCCCCCTTTTCTTTTTTTACTTTTATTTTTCACATCATCAGATCTTTTTATAACACTTTTTTCAGCCATATTTCCAAGCAAAACCTTTACAAATCTTGACTATTCGCAACAGAAGAAACACTCAAAATCTCCAAGTTAGAGAGGCTATTGTCAACTAAAGTGACAGTGTATATGCGCTACCAATCACTACGGACTGGTTTCTAACTTGTAGGAATTTACATCTAGCATAAGCGTCTTTTAACAAGGGCTTTTTCTATATGCCTTTTTAATATATATTTATATGCACATATATATATTTATTGTCAGGTTGCGCGTTATTGTTTAGCTGTCGCCGTTCTTGTTTATTACTAAAAAAAAACAGCTGGCGCGGCGAATAAAACACTATAGACTAAAAAACCAGCTGCGACGTTCACTTGTGAATGACAGTAACCACTTTAAGCGACAATAAGTTACCGATATTTTTGTGCACCATTGCTATTAATATTACTATTTTAAATTTGGATTTTAACTCACCTTTAAATTATTTGAACGATTCATAGCTTTTAATGATTGGATAAGTCTCTAGACGCCTGCTTTAAGGCAAGAAACTTTTCTTTTAAACTAATATACTTTTCCTGTACTCTTGTGAGTTCTATTCCGATATTATAATATTTTCTTCTATAATATACCTCACTTTCCTCTCTATTTATACAATTCAAGCAATAGGATGAACTATCAATGTCTACTAAATCCTGCCACAATTGACTTTTTGTTTTGTTTCTAAAGCTCAACAAATTCTCTAAAGATTCTTCATCGTCATATTCATTTTGAATATTTTCAATCTGGTGATCCTTATCCACTTCTTCTTGCTTTTCCTGTTCTTCTACAACCGTTTCTCCTAGGAAAGCCGTATCACATAAATCAACAATATCATAGGATAAGTCTGGATTGTTCCAAGGTAAGGGTGGGACTTCATTAGCTCTTAAGTTACGTTTGAAGTCAAGAATCTCACAGGATAAGTTTGGGTTGTTCAAATATAGGGTTGGGACTGCATTTTTTCTTAATTTTCGGCTACCAATATATCCCTTTTCGAAATGCCGACCACATATTTTAGCCCTTTTATAGTCACGGTTTATTGGTAAATTGCATATTTTAATCCACTTGTTTAAATGAGAAGGTTTTGAGGGAAAATTGAAAAGTTTAATCGGATTATTCTTAGAACTTTTTCTATAGCTGGCATCACAATTGTCTATTATACATTTACAATTACTTTTTCGTGTATCCTTTCTACCTTTATTCTTCACACCAATGCTAGCCATAGTTTTTTGTTCAAAAATAATTTTTAGGATTTATCAATTTGTGCAACAGTAATATAACTTAAGGATCACACTATAAAGCGCTCAGTTGAGAGGTTGACTGTCAACTTGAGTGGCATATTCGCTTCCTAATACTTTGTAGTAGTTTCTCACTTGTATGACTATATTAAATCTAACTCCTGCGTCTTTTAAAACGAGTCCACTTGCTCTGCGTATGTAATATACATGTATATTTATGGTCCGGATCGTGCGGAAATGCTTAGCTGCCTCCGCTCTTGTTTATAACTAAGAAACAGCTGGTGCGGCGAATACAAAACAAGACGTTCACTCGAGAATGACAACCTTTGGGTCTTTCAACAGGAGACTGCAACGACATTAGACGACACGAATCTATCGATATTTTTTCGTGCTCTTGCTGTTGATAAATTATTAAGACTGTGTTGTCTGGTCAGTGTTAATACTCGAATTGATAGAAACCAATGAAAGTTAATATGAAACTGGGTTTGCATAAAATTCAATGCCAAAAAGACATGCAACAAGCTAAAATAAATACTTTTAATATATCAATAAATTTTTGTTATTTATTAATTATCTAAAATTTAAATGAAATAAATAGTTCATTTGTTTTTTGTTGTTCGTCATGTCTTTTATATCGAAATACAATGCTTATAATTGTATAATTTTAAAAATTAAAGTTAAAATTATGAATGACTGAATAACTGAACAAGTTCTGATGCTTAAATTATAGAACAGCTCTAGAAAAATAAAGGAACGTTTTCTCAGGGGCCAGCACGCTGATTTTGATTAGACAGCCGTCGATGCTAACGCGCAACTGGAGGATCTAACTCAAATTGAAAGAGACAAAGACGATGCCTACTTTGATTCCAGTGATGGAGATGATCTGCTGATGAGCTGGTTGAGCTGGAAGTTTATATGGGAAATCTGAATTAACATCAAAGCTTTCATAATTATTTTCTTTATATTTTAACTTTAAGCCTACCTTTAGAAAGCGTACACAACGTCCGGCGATTCGCTAGCCGGGATGAATCCTCGAATCGAGACCAAACATATGGAAATGTCGATGATCCAGGCGTATCAGTGATATGAAAGATAGGTTCCTAAAAGCATCTGATGTTCCGCTGTCGCTGGAATGTCGAACTGTGCCCTTGTTTCCCATCAGGCAGTTCCTTTCCTTAGTGCGTTAGAGTATCGATTTGGCTATGTGACCAGGCCTCTTGATGTTGGTGCACACCCACATCAATGACCCAAACCCTCCGCTGAACCTGATCGCAGCAGAACGACAACGAACGAATAATGTTCAGCTATTTCGCCAACATCCAAATCTATATGGATATATATGTAGATAGAAATACTATTATATAAATCTCTATAAGATTCAAGTGTATAGCTCACTTAGTATATCATCCCAGTTCCAGAAGACCCGTGGTGCTCCACCCACTGTCGCTCCAGCGGGTACTGCTCGGGCATATTCCTCAAACGGTGGCTCAATAAGAACAACGTCAAATTTACTGGCCAAGGTTTTCACATCCAATGCTTTAATATCTGCTTTCAGATACATGGGAGCCGATGCAGTGTCCTAGATGAGTTTATCGGCTTAATCAGCTCACGCAGCTTTGGATATTGGAAGACTAAGTGCTTTTTAAAAATGTTGAGCAGTCTTTATATATTATCTCGTTTGGTTTTCTCTTGGACAACATAGCGCCGCCGACGGAGCTTTCCTCCTCGATGCCACCGATGCCGGTGCTGCTGCTGCTTCCGCGTAAAGTTTCGATAATACTTTACATTTATATATATATATATATGTATGAATGGGACGTGAGCGCTGGCGTGTACTTAGCTCAGCTTAGAATTGCTTGAACAATTCGCAGTGTTAATTGAAATGCCTCTGTCTTTAGAGGCCTGCTTTAAAGCAAGATACCTTTTCTTTAAACTAATATATTTTTCCTGTACTCTTGTAAGCTCTATTCCAATATTATAATATTTTCTTCTATAATATACCTCATTTTGCTCTTTCTTTATACAATTTGGGCAATAGGATGTACCATCAACGTCGACTAAATCTTGATTTTTTGACTTATTTTTAAAGCTTAATAAAGTATCTACAGATTCATCGTCGGCACAGTCATTTTTCATATTTGCATCCCGATCATTTTCAATCTGAATATTTTTAATATTGTGTTCTTCTGTTTCTTCGCCTTCCGTTTCCTCTTCGTCACTGCCTACTAAAAAAATGGCATCCTTAAAGTCGTCAATATCATAAGAGAAGCTTGGATTGCACAAATTTAAGGTTGGGATTGCATCGGGTGTTACTTTTCGACCACAAATATATTTCTCTTCGAAATGCCTATTACATATTCTAGCCCTTTTAAGATCCAAATTATTGGATAAGTTGCATATTTTAATCCATTTGTTCACATTACGTAGTCTTGATGGAAACGAAAATAATTTAACTGGGTTACTTTCGAGACTTGTCCTGTAGCTCGCACCACATGATGGAACTAAGCATCTAAGACCATTTGCTCTATATTTGCGTCTTATATTTTTTGCATCAGCATCCGCTTTTTTTGTAACACTGTTTTCAGCCATTGTTTAGGAAAAGAAATCGGTATCAATTTAAATGTAGTCACGTTTTGCAACAGGAAAAACACAAAAGATCGCAGATTGCGCGTTAGTTAGTAGCTGACGCCGCTCTTTGTATAAATAGGAAACAGCTGACGTGATGAATAAAAAACCTACATGACTTATCGATATATTGTTTCTGCTCGTGCTACTGACAAAATATATACAATTTGGTATTTAAAATACAATGTTAAAAAATAAAAAATAAATGAACTAGGAAATCAATTAAATTTGGTATTCACACTAACCAAAATGGTATTAATTAAAATTATTAGGCGGAATTATAATGCCTATAAATTTCGGAATAATTGAACAAGTTTTGTTCCTTTTGAATGAATTAATTAATGACTGAACAAGTTCATCTGTTCAAATTACAGAGCAATTCTTAGTGTGTAAGAAGAAGCATTTGTTTACATATATTTTATTTCATAAAATGACACAAACGAAGACCTCGAGTTGCGAAGACAGTTCAGAAGTGGTTGAATTACCAGTTCAACTTATGGATATATTCAAAGCACTTGCCGAAAATGCAAATATTATTTTTAAGTCTCAACAAATTGATGATCCGGAGTTAAATTTGGAAGAAAAACAACAAATTGCACAAGATGCATATCAGAAAAATCGTGAAAATTTCTTAATACGATTTGGCAGCTACCTAACCGAGCAACAATTAAGCGATTTTCAGACTGTAGGTGTAACAGAACCTATCAAAGCCAATGAGAATCTTCAAGAGATTATTCTGCTGCTCGATGATTTCAAAAGGAAGCTACTATCACGCGGCGTTTGTATCAAGAATAGAAGATACCATGCCATGCAGCAGCTGCTACAGCAGGGCGAATACTTTAGCGAGCACGAAATGATGCAGCGTGCACCGGAGCTGTACCAGGAGCTAGTCGGCCAATACCTAACGGAACAGGAGAAGAAACAACGAGACAGTTACGATGTAAGGAACACAAGCTTCTCTGGCATATTAATGCACACGTTGGAGCAAAAACAGCGTGACGAGCTGCTGCAGCAAACGATTCAGACCAGCACAGTCATTCAAGAGCCGCCCACGAACAACGTAGACTGTGAAGTACCAGCCGCATGTCGCCAGCAATGGGGAGGTTTTGAAGACGACGAGCCCGTGGCCTGCTCCTCAAGTCGAAATACTCAATCCTCTTTAGCTCCAACCAACACTATTGTAACGCCAGAGTACTATAATCCAGGTGAAAGGGAGCTGCTGCGCAACGAGTTTATGGGATTAATGAAGGAACGCTTTCTCAGTGGCCAGGACACGGACTTCGATTATACAGCCGTCGATGATAACGCTCAGCTGGATGATCTAAAGCAAATCGAAAGAGACGAAGAGGATGCCTACTTTGAGTCCAGTGACGGAGAGGACACCGTTGCAGCTCCTGCTGATAATGATGAGGGCGAGGATGATCTGGAAGTTTATATGCGCCATCTAAACCAACATCACAGCTTGCAGCATTAGTTTTTTTTTATTTTAGCTTTTATCCTAGCATTAGAAAGTGTACACAAAGTGTAGGTTTACTTTTTAATCTTAAGATGATGGATATGTTCCAGATCAATCGAATGGGACAATATCGCACTTAATTATATAAAATACATGCACATCAGTGGTTATTATCTGGGTCTGCCACGACTGCGTGGAAAACCGCGTCCTCGCCCCCGGACCTTACTATTTGGCGGCGGACTCTTTGGTCGCAGCATCTCGATACGGCTGGTGCAACCGGTGGCGGTGGCATCTGCAAAATAGGACTGATATTGCTCGGCGTTGAAATTTGAATTCGTCAACTCGGGTCCAACGGTTAGCCAGCCGGGTCGTATGCTCGAATCGCGGCCAAACAAATGTAAACGTCGACGACCCAAGCAAAAGTGTTCAATGATATGAAAGATTTCAATGGGTTTCTCAAAGCTACCGAATTCCTCCTCCTCGGATATAATCAGATCAATGTCCACATTGGCGTGTATAAAGTCACCATCGCTGGAGCGTCGAACTGTACCCTTGATGCCCATCAGGCAGTGTTCCTTGGTGCGTTGGAATACCGATTTGGGAATGGCTTGCTTGGAATGACCAGGCTTATTGATGTTGGTGCGTATCCAGCAGATGTCCTCGCAGCGACGAAAGCCCCACTTTTTTAAACAATTCCGACCCTGATCCAAGCCCTCCGATGAGCCACACCACAGAAAGACAAACGAACGATGTTCAGCTATTTCGCCAACATCCAAATCTATATATATATATAGAAAGACTATTATATAAATCTCTATAGGATCAAGTGTATAGCTCACTTAGTATATCGTCCCAGTTCCAGAAGACCCGTGGTGCTCCACCCACTGTCGCTACAGCGGGTGCCGCTCGAGCATATTCCTCAAGCGGTGGCTCAATGAGAATAACGTCAAATTTACTGCCCAATGTTTTTACATCCAACGTCTTAAGATCTGCTTTCAGATACATGGGCGCCGATGCAGTGTCCTGGATGAGTTTATCTTTGAGCTTAATCAGCTCACGCAGCTTTGGATATTCCTCGAACCGATCGGCCAGTCCGACGTCGCGTATAAAATTTTGTGGTCTTTGACCAGTGTCGACAAAATGCTGGCAGTAATCATTGTGCGGATTGGAAGACTGAGTACCTTTCAGAAAGGTTGAGGAATCTCTGTATATGATCTCGCTCGGTGTTTTCTTGGAGGACGAAGCACCGTCGCCGGAGCCTTCCTCCTCGTCCCTTTGACCAGAGGCATTGAGCTGCCGGCTTCCACTGACGCCGGCATAATTATTGCTATCTTCTGCATTGCCCAGCACCTTTTTCAGCTCATCGACGCTGGACAAACCAAGCTATACATTTTTAATAAATTAGGCATTTAAAAAATTCATAAAAAAAAATCCGTGGTTGAAAAATTACGCCCACTCACCGTTTGGGCCAGCAGCAGTCTACGTTTACGCGAACGCTCTTGTGAGCTCTTCAATACATCACTCATTACAAACAGTGCTGCAGCGGCACACGAAAATAAATTAATGCTTAATTTAAATTAAAAATAAGACAAATAAAAATTAGTCAGCTAACGCGTCTACACAACGCGAATAGTTGACGGCGGAGATGAACGCGGCACAAGATTAGCACGAGCACGCATAGCGATGTTTAGCATTCACCACCACTAACTTGTTCATGTCAATGTATAGAAAAAGAAGCACAACGACAGTCTGGCAACGCCACTGCCTCAGCTACCATTCACAATCAGCTGCTAAAAAAATTTTTGTTCTAAAGGAGGCAAGCGCTGTAATTTTGGCTTGGAATTAGTGAAAAAATTAAACAAAAAAATACATAAAAATGAAGCTGCTGCACAAGACACTCTTGTGCACGCTTATAGCGATGGTCGGCTGCCTTATATTTGTCGCCGCACAGAGCAAGCAACACAAGGTATGTACACAACGCCCGCCTATGGGCCACGTCACATCGAATTGTATACCGGTTCCAGTTCCGATTCTAGCTTGCCGGTAAACCTCTTTGAAATGACTGTAAACACTAATTGTTTATTGAATTGCAGACGGGTCTGTCTCTCTCGGAGAAGGTTCAAAATCTGGTGGATATGAACATGAAGAAACCCCTGTTGCGTTTTAATGGGGCCAAATTCCGTGAATATGTGAAAAATACGCCGCGCAACTACTCAATGATTGTGATGCTCACGGCGCTGGCGCCTTCCCGACAATGCCAAATTTGTCGGCATGCCCATGACGAATTCAGTATTGTGGCCAACTCATATCGTTTCTCGCCAATCTACTCCAATAAGCTGTTCTTCGCAATGGTCGATTTCGATGACGGTTCGGATGTCTTTCAAATGTTGCGCCTGAATACGGCGCCGGTGTTTATGCATTTCCCCGCTAAGGGCAAGCCAAAGGGTGCGGATACCATGGATATTCATCGTGTAGGCTTTGCTGCAGATTCGATTGCCAAATTTGTGGCTGAACGTACGGACATCACAATACGCGTATTCCGTCCTCCCAATTATTCCGGCACAGTCGCCATGATTACTCTGGTTGCCCTCGTTGGCAGCTTTTTGTACATACGCCGAAACAACCTGGAATTTTTGTACAACAAAAATTTATGGGGTGCCGTGGCGTTGTTCTTCTGTTTCGCCATGATCTCGGGTCAAATGTGGAATCACATACGTGGACCGCCGCTGGTGCATAAGACACAAAATGGAGGCGTCGCCTACATACATGGTTCATCGCAGGGCCAGCTGGTCGTGGAGACCTACATTGTCATGTTTTTGAGTGAGTGTCGATTGAGTGAGGTTACGATTAGTATCGATTGAACTATCTATGTACTCCCTCTTTTCGTCTTTGCAGATGCGATGATTGTGCTGGGCATGATTCTGTTGATCGAATCCGGCACCCCAAAGGCTCACAATCGTAATCGCATGATGGCGATGGCTGGTCTCGTGCTTTTAACGGTATTCTTCTCATTTCTGCTTTCCGTATTCCGTTCCAAGGCGCAAGGTTATCCATATAGGTAAGTCTCTCTTTCCCTCTGATCATAATTACAAAGATCATTATTCTGACATTTTTCGTTTGCAGCTTCTTGTTTAAGTAAAAACTGACGCCCCAAATGAGGTTATTAACGTTTTATAAATAGTTCAAATTCCGAAACAAAAATAAAAACCACACAAAGATCACTAAAAACACGTTTAATAAATAACCAAACGACCCAAAAGAGGTCAAAGAGGAATGTTAATGTTTAATGTATAATAAATTAAAAATGATTCGTAATTAATTTTACAGTAACAATGGTATGATGGCATGTCGCCTTTTGGGGTAGTCCTTGAAGTTCTCTTTATACCATTGATGGGTGAGCAGGGCATTGATCGTCTGATTGCTGGCCACCCAGATGAAGATAAGTTTCCAAGTGATGATTGGTGTAAAAAGATCCGCGAGACAGTAGTACATGACCACTTCGAAGAACATGTGGGGCGATGATATCCAATTGAACCAACCGCCCTTGGGCATCAAGTGCTCCTCGGTTTGCACGGCGCCCGTTTTGGCATTCTTTCGCAGATTCACAAGCAACATATTGCTTGAATATTGTTGAAGCCAGGCGAAGAGGAAGACGAGCACATAGGCTGATTGAAGCAGACTGATCTTAGATAGCGTAAAGGGCGATGGTTTTGACCCCCTCACAAAACCAGCCGTGTTTGACAGCAGAGCGACAATGGCTCCGAAATAGTGTACAAAACCCACGGCATAGTGCGACAGATTCATCTTACTGCGCTTGGAGAAGATTTGCACAAAGTTCGTCTCGTAGAAGCGACGCACGCACTGCAAACTAAGCAGCAAAGTGCCTATCAGAGCGGTGTTGGAGTCCACCTGCACCTGGCGCTGACTGCGGCCACCACACATGAAGTCGAGAAAGCGAAGCACATACTCCGGCGCTGTTGCTTGATTCCAAATAGCGCTGGTGATTAGGTAGAGCGCTAATAGTGACCAGCCAAAGGCAAATACATAGAAGTGACTGAACCAGGCCTTGGGCACTTCCAAGTAATTCACCAGAGTATCCGTTTCGCCCTTGTGGCTATGTTTGCCATAACGAAATGATTGACGTATGCTATTTGGCAGGTGCGATTCCACAAGGGTCATCAAACTGCCCAGCAAAACGATCGTGACAATAAAAATTATGAAAATCGCTTGAATTAGATTGATTTTGTACTGCTCTATTAGCTCCTCCAGGGAGCCAATTAATGCCAACACCATTTTAAACAGCACGTAATTATTTGATGTAATATATTTATTGGAAATAGAAAGCGATAAGGCCACAACTTTCACCGCAAGCACATTGTTTATCAGTTGAACTACGAAACTACTGTTCTGCAATGTGAATGGCAAAAGAATTGTCTGTCTGGCAGAGCTGAGTTGGGGCGCGGCTTTCAAATGAGTTAATGGTCTGTAGGACAAAGATGTCTAAGGCTAACAACATAAGTTAGAACTCTCCCATTTATTTTCATAATATGACGATTCCATAACTGCGATAAATAAGTAGCATTATGACACTGACCAAAGAACAATCAGTGATTATGAGCAATGTCCATTGTTCACTGTGAATGGCAATTATACATATCTACTACATTGACTTCGGCGCGCATTTCAAAAATTTAAAAAAAAAAAGCAAACGTGCTTACAAGTAATTCAAACAGAGCTATTTATTTGAAACAGAGCTAAAAATTAAACTAAATTCGCTACGCATACTGTAAGATAATTGATATATATGCATTATTCGATGCGGTTATGATATATGCTCAACTTGTGATATATGTATATGTGAATTGTGCTCCAAATGACAATTGTAGTTGATCTTTCGTTGTGTATTGCTTTTTAATTTAATTTATAGCGCCTTTAGCAATAGAGCACTCGCGGTGATGTTTGTCAAATGTCCACGCCATTGCGACCCAAAGTGCCGCCCTTGTACGGCGGAGGCTTGGGGCGGGCGTATATGCCCGATGCACCTGTGTCCAGCTGATATAAACTATTGTTTGGACTGCAATCAAGAGGCATTGATGATAAGTCGATATTAAAGTTATTTAGAGTTATAAACCTTTGTGAACGCATGCTGGTGTTGTCGAGTAGAAAATTGGGATCCTTCAGACTCTTCAGCGTTGTCACCGGCTGCATGGGCTTTGTGTCCGAGCACTGAACCATTTGCACGGTGGAGGACATAGGAGGATAGTCTATGTGGACTGAGCTGCAAGGGAGGTGATAGTTAATATTTGTGTATTAATATATTAAAATTTGAATAGACTATATATTCAACACAAATGACCTGTCCTCATCAGCATCCGAATCGTTGGGCGTTGCAGCACAAGACTCTTCGCATATATTAAAAATATTTGCAAAAAATAACTCTGATTGTGGATCGTAACTGAAGAGAAAATGAACAAAAATAAGAAAAAGTAAATTTTATAGAAATACAAATGAGTTACTAAATAACATATATAAAAACTTAAATGAAAAATTTATGTTTTAATAAATTATAGACTTATCTGGTACATTATTGCAAATCTAAAACATGTTTCTATTTCGTATCAGACATTTGATAAATCTTATATAATACATCTACTTTACCCTCAAGACTCACAATTTCTGATGCTGGAAGCAGAGCACGGCGGACAATATGCCCACGAGAACGGCAAAGATCATGCCAGGAATGGCAAAGGCGAAGGCAAATTCATCAATGTAATTTCGGATGGGCACATCTTCGCGTGGTATGCCTAGCCAGCGGTCCTGTTGCCGTTGCGGCTGCTGATGCCGATGCTCCTTGAGCTGTTCTTTGACACGCCCATGATTATTGTGGTAGAGCACCTCGGTGGGTGACTCGATGCCCACCATCTTAAAGGCGCACCAATCCAGCTTAAATCCGACATTTTCGAAAATCTTTTGCACTGAGGTTCGTTTGTAGGTGCAGGAGGGCAGCTTATACAGTGGTCGCACTTCCTCCTGAAGCTCCTTGAGACGCGGCGAGAACTGAGCAAAGCTGCCCACGTGAACAATGACGCTGCAATAGGTGGAAGAGGGAAATTGTTTTAAAAAAAAGAGTTCCATATTTGAAAATTCTTTGAGCTCACCCTTCCCGCTGTTGTGGCCGCAGTGGTAGACGTCCGCCCATATTAATGGCAGACTCCATGAAAACCACACTCAAGTCGTCTTTGCTATCCGGCCAGAGATCCTTGCGGAATATGTTGCGTAAGTTCTCCACACGTCCCGGATCCATCAAGTGCACCCAATTCAAATTATCTATTTTCATCTGCACCACATTGGGCGTTATGAACTTATGAGCCACAAACATCGATATAACCAATTGGCGAGTTTCATAATTTTGTCTATTTAAAGCGATCACGTCGAGATTCAGGGTCTTCCCAGCAGCCGGAACGGGGGGCGTACCATAGAGAAAGCCCGCATGATATTCATGGCTATACATATAACGCATCCAGCTGGGCAAATCGGGATAGTGCTGAAGCGATGGTCTATAGCGAAATTGTTCGCTTATTACTTGATGGGTCCAATTAAAGAGCTGCGGCTCGATTTTAAACGTAAAAAGTTCTCCTACATTTGCCTGTAAATGCAGATTAAATACGCTGCAGCTGGCCACACCCAAATAGCCCACAAATACTAATAGCAAATACATTTTTTTTAAATTTAATCTCACTAGCACAATTTATTTTCTCATTTTCTTAAACAAACGGTAAAGAAAAATTGGCCAAGTGTGTATCTAACTGGTAGCTGGTAGCTGGCAGACAGCGCAGGCGCAGTAAATAGCAGCAAATATAAACACTAAAACACCTGTTGCGCTAGGTCAGTTAAAAATTCTAAAAAAGTTGACATAATAGCATCAATATAAGAAAATGCGTTAAAATCTATAATAAAATCAAGCTCACAGCAGCTTAGTTTCAAATCTAACGAAATATTTGCTTATAGTAATTATCTGGCAGCACTATATCCAAATATATCGAAGCCTAAACTTTTATATCAAATGATAAATAATTAAATGATAAAATTACCCAAAATTCATAATTTGTTACATTTTTATTGATTAAAGTACATACCGAAAGAATAGAAAAACATATTAATAATGCTATCTCTGAATAACTTACAGTCTGGCAGCATTATAAGTATCGATGCCTTGTTATTCGATAGCCTTTGTTTACGGTCGTATGTGTTATCAGCTGCCGCTAACGCAAAGCTGGCACAAAATACGTGTATACGTGTTATCCGTATTTTTGTGCTACTTTAAAAAGTGATGATCTGCTATAGATAGCCATTCGTTTAATTGACATAACTAAATACCAATATGTTGATCCTATTGCTGCAAGTGGGTTGCTATCTGTTGGGCGGTGTTGGTGCAGTCGCCTTGTTGGTATGTAAATAATGACGATGATTGATGATCGGCTTTTGGTTTATAGCTCTATTTGTTCTTGTTTTTGTACCTATAAATATTGCAGGCAATATTGATTTCGTTGTACAAATCGAAGCCTTATCCGCTTATAACGCGGCACAAGGACGAGAAATTTTTTTTGGATACTGACACAATTAAAACTGTTGAATTTCCCAGTTTAGATGACTCGCCCACCTTGGAGCTGAGTGTTATTGTGCCGGCGTACAATGAGGAGCAGCGATGTTGGTTTGCCCATTTTTGATAAAAATTTGCCGTGATTAATTATCACATTATCTTTTTTGTTAGTGCCCGCCATGCTAGACGAGTGCATGGCATATCTAGCCCAGAAGACGGAAAAGCAGCCGGATTTCAGCTACGAGGTAATTGTGGTTAGCGATGGCAGCAGTGACTCAACGGTCTCGGTAGCTCTAGAATACTCAAAGAAATATGGCGCAAATAAGTTTCGTGTGCTGGAGCTGGTGGAGAATCGTGGCAAAGGTGGAGCCGTGCGGATAGGCATGCTAAGTGCACGCGGTCGTCACCTGCTATTTGCGGATGCCGACGGTGCAACCAAGTTTGAAGACTATGAGAAGCTAGCGGAGGCTTTGGTTAGCCTAGCACCGGAGTGGAGGCACGATGGCATAGCCATTGGCTCTAGGGCTCACCTAGAAGATGAGTCGATTGCAAAGCGCAGCTTTTTACGGTAAGCCAATGAGGAACGATTTTTGGGTGGATTCCATTAATGTATATTATTTTTTCCATTTTAAGTACCATATTGATGCATGGCTTCCATACGCTTGTCTGGATATTTGCGGTGCGAACTGTGCGGGACACCCAGTGCGGCTTTAAGCTATTTACCCGTGCCACAGCCCGCAAACTGTTCAATAGCTTGCACGTCGAACGCTGGGCATTCGATGTGGAGCTGCTCTACTTGGCTGAACGTCTCCAGCTGCCCATGGCGGAAGTTGCGGTACGTTGGACAGAAATCGATGGCTCGAAATTATCGCCGTTTTGGTCGTGGCTGCAAATGGGCATCGATTTGTTTATGATCTGGCTGCGATACATGGTGGGCGCTTGGCGTATTGTCGCTAGCGAGAAGAAGAAAAACTAAGTGTTATAGTATCGAAATAATTGCTAAGGGCGCGCATTTAAATTGTAATTGATGTTGTCCTCTACTAACTTAAACCACTAACCATACAACACATAGACTAGACATCTAGAGTGAATTTGTTGTATAGTTAGAGCTTAAACTAAAAAGCCTATTAAATTAAGTGCACAGTATTCAAAAAGTTTGCATTTCATTTTGAACTGAATTATTATAACTGTAATAGTTGGCAACATAGTTTTGTAATAATATTTAAATTATTATATACCAGCCATTCACTGTATTTCAATACTAACAATAGTTAGTGATTTTAATATTTATTTATATTTGGCAATTAAAAAATTTGAAAAACATCGCGATCGATAATTTAATGGATCTAATGTGGTGGTCATTCGATTGCACTCGTTTAACAAAGCATCGATATCAGATAGCAGTACAAGTTCCATCAATTAATCGATAGCCGTTTCAAAGTTACGTCGCGTCGGCGCGTTCACAACACATAAGAGAAGAACGACGGCGCGCTTAAAATTTATAAATAATATTAATATTACAAAATTTGATACTTCAGTTGTTATCCAGTTTTGATCTAACTAAAGTAATAAGATGTATTTGCTCTGAATATTCTACACATCAAAAAGCCGCCTGTTGCGACTGTCGTTCTGTGTGTTTGTGTGTGATGTCCTCATATGTTTAAATGCGTGTGAGTGTGTGTGAGCACAGCTGAGCCTTCTCCGCGGATTTGTTTATAATATATTTTTTTGCCCGCTACTTGGGTCGAGCAGTATGCAAATGGTGTCAAAGCCGGTCGCGTCGCAGTCATTGTTATCGCCGCCGTTGTGGAGCGTGCGCGTTGCTTAAACGAAAGTGATTTGTTGTTATTAATTTCGTTTGTTGAATGCGCTTCGATCGGTCATTGCTTCAATTGCTCAATCATCGGCACTTGTGGTAAGTTTGGCACACATATTGATTCCTCTTGCCTTCTCCCACTCCCGCTGGTGTCTTACTTGCAGCTCGAATTACATTTATTTTCTTTGTTCTTGTTTCGTTTTTATTTAATTTGCTTTATCACCACAATTAATATGTGAGTGGAGCTGAATGCAAAATCAAAATACACAAAGCCAACTAGAATTTACAGCTGCGCTTGCTGATAAGAACACCCCCCTCGCAAACCAATAAGAACAAACAACATACATATGCCAATCAGTCCATGTTTTGTCACTTGCCTTCGAGTAGTTGCTTTTTTCCTCTTCTCATATTTGCGTTTTCTTTCCGCTGCAAACCCGTTTTTGGTTGCGTTTTGTTCAAAAATTCTTTCAAAGGTCGCGCAGAGCGTCAAACGCCAACGCAACACCCGCCCCCGTTAAATGCTATGAAAAAAGTTGCGAGTATCAACAGAAAAATCAAAACTATTGCAAAAAAAAAAAATTTAATAAAAAAAAAAACAAAAGAAGAAAATTAATAATAAGCAAGAGAGGCATGAAAATTAAACGCAGCCATTTGCGTGGCGAAATTCAAACATTGTCGTCTGCAGCTAAATCTTTCCTGTCTGTGTGCGCGTGCGTGCATGTGTGTGTGTGCCAGGGCCATGGCCACGCCCGCTTTTGCCAAAACGCGTTGACTCTTGTCTGTTGTTGTCTGCGGCCGTCTGTGCCGTTGCCGTTGCCATTGCTGCTGCTGCTGCGGCTGCGCTGCGCTGCTCTGCTATCCCAAGTCCAGGCAACGCGTCGCTGTCGCTGTCGCCGTCTGCGTTTGCTTCTTCGCCTGTGCCTGTTCATGCCTGAGGCCAAGATTTATGCGAATTTTGCGCCGTCGCAGTGGCCGCTGTTGCAATCATTTAGCGTTGCCTAGTCTACAATACCCTGTAATTTATGAAAAGCCGTGGCTATGCTAAGTGCGTACTTTTTTTTTGTGTTAACTTTTTAATGTAGGTTGATCAAGGGGATTTGATGTCCAAGTAACTAAAATATAGAGAATAGTAAATATACTATCATATTATGAAAATAATTTCTTTCTAGGGCATGATTCGGTTATTGCTTTAGTGCTTAGCAAATCCTATATGGCTGAGCCTCTCAACGCTCTGCTTGATTAAAGTGCCACGCATGAACGATATGTAAACGGGGCTTGTGGGCGGGGCAGTGTGAGAGAGGGGCAGGCGTTGTAGTTATTGTTGCTGCATCATTGTTGCTGTTGTTGTTGTAGCTGTGAATTTGCATTTGTCGCTTTTGTTTGTTGATTTCCATGCGCAGCCGCATGTTGCTTTTGTTGTTGTTGAAGTGCGATAATGCCATAGCTCCACATATCATGTGTGTCTGTGTATGTGCTTGTGTGTGTGTGTGTATGTGTATACAATTTAGTCAATGCAAGTGCTGTCACTGTAAATGGGGTATATTGAAATCATGCCAAAACATGTAACAAACAAGTGAAATGCATTTTTCCAATTTTATCTTTGTAAACATGTGTAAATATTTATATAACAATAGTAATGCAGATTATTAGCTAAGCCTTATGTACATACATCGTATTGGTATATTGATATTATTAGCATATATCTGAGTTGTTGAGAAAATTGATATGTACAGAGATATGTATTGGAATCATTTGAGGCTAACATCTAAAATTTTTGCATGTATACATTCATATAGATATGCATAGGTTTAAGACTGTCTAAAAGGTCTAAGTACACACTTATACATAGAGGTAAACTTATATACATTCATACATATCTCTAAAAACTCTTAAATTTGGCATATAATATTATAATCTATTGTATATTAGCAAATCGTGCAGTATATCGATAACTGGTTTATCTAAATTTAGTTCTTTGCCAGTTGTTAAATCGTTCATAGACTTTTGGTAGTGATGTTATATCTGTGTATAGTCGCTTCTGATGGACAATGGAACTGTGCATTTCTACAGCTCGAGCGACATATGCCATTCTTTTGCTTAGATATGAATTCCTGCAATGGATCATAATATAATAATACGGATAATACGGTAATATAATAAACCACAAAAGTCTTTAATTTAAATGAATCATTGCTGAGCGAACTAACTCAACTAACTCGGCAGTTCCTTCGATATAACTATTCGTACTGATCAGATATTTATCTGCCAACTCGTTCTCGATTAATACCTGAAAATGGGTAAT